TATAACTAATAGTGTGAGACTCTGCCTTAGAAAAAAAATAAAGTGGGGGGGAAGGGAGGGAGGAGAGAGAATATGAAAATGAAAAGGAATACTGACTGGGTGTGTTCATGTGTTAAAGGCTGTATGAGGTGGAAGACAGAATGTGGACTTCTGGGAAGTCCAGGGCAGGGCAGGAAGTACCTCTCAGAGCAGGCACCAGCACCTGAAATGCTCTTAAAAAAAAAAAAAAGTATTAGAACCCAAGTTCTTGAGAGAACTGGAAACTTGCCTTCCCCCCAAACAGCAGCAGCTCACACATCTCTCATAGAAACCTGAAGAGTGAATTGACAGAGCGGGTGACAGATTGTAGCTGCACACACACACACCTCTCTCAGGAGAGCACACATGTCCTTCCCAAAGACACGAAGTAATCGAAGTAATCGCAAAAGCCACGACGAGGACAGTCTCTGTAGACTCCCCCCAAAAGACAAAGTAACTCACAGGAAGAATGACCCAAACATACTAGACAAAGAACAGCAAACTTGACTGGGCTCTTAAAGACACTGTTTGAGAAGAATTGCTCAAACTTCAAAAGTGGTGTTCCTGTATAAAAGCTTAAAAATTAGAAAAATAAAAAGAAACCGGCGCGATGGAACACCAACCTTAGAGACTACATTAATCGTATGGGGGGGGGGGGGCGCGGGGAAGAGGGCGGGAGTGGGAGAGACAAGAGAGACAGAAAAGTAAGAGAGACAGAGAGGGCGAGGAAGGTAAGAGAGACAGTAAGAAGAGTATTAGTGGTCAACCATCAGAAACAGAGAGAAAAAGAAAGAGAGAGAGAGAGAGAGAGAGAGAGAGAGAGAGAAAATGTAGAAGTACACGCTTAAAAGGGGATGCTTGCACATGGGTACTGAGTCCTTATGCAGCCCTGTAACATGTGAAGTAGCCATGAAGTGGCCACGCAACACAGGGCCTTTTTGAGCTGCCTAAGTATCTGCCTGAATGCCAATATGAGTGAGTTCCACCCATTATCAGGGGGCGGGAGCAGCATACCAGGTTCCAACAAAAGGAAGGAGGCCCAGAGAGAGAAGGGAGGGACAGTGGGACAGATGGATGGAGGGAGGGACCGAGTAATGGATCCATGAGTTGACCCTTTAAACAGCTCTGTGCGAGCACACGTGCATGGCAACCTGCACTCATGGGGTCAGAAGACAACTGTGTATTATTGGTTCTCTCCCTGCACTCTTTACATGGTTCCAGGGATCAAACTCAGATCGCCAGGCCTGCTCACCCAGCAACCTTACCAGCTGAACTATGTCACCACCTCACAAAAATAAAATAAGCCTGGCGATGGTGGCTCACGCCTTTTATTCCAGCCCTCGAGAGGCAGAGGTAGGCGGATCTCTGTGAGTTCAAGGCCAGCTGGACATACAGAGTGAGTTACATGACAACTAAGGCTATACAGAGAAACCCTGTATCGAAAAAACAAAACAAACAAACAAATAAAATTAAGGTAAAATGTGTAAATGATCATGCAGTGGTAAAAGTAAATAGAAAAGAAAACCTAAAAGTCATTAAAAATCAAAAAAAATCTTTTCTTTAATAAGTAAAATATTTTGCAAAAAATAATCCAGGTATGGCCAGAGAGTAGGAGAGAAAGAGGCATCAGGATTAACATCCAGAAGAAGCCATTCAGCAAAGAGATCAGAAACTGGTCCCTACCCCCTTAAAATTTTAAAGAAGTTCAATCTCTGTTAAAATCCCATTTAATGGAAAAATTCACAAGGAAAAGAAGACTTCCTTCTTTCCTTTATTTTTTCTGATGAAAGTAATTATTTATTTTAGAAAAATATTTACAATAAAGATTAAAGTTCCCTGTAATTCCACCAATCAAAAATAAACATATAGTAGTATTTTACTGCTTTTTTACCATATATATGGTGAAAATATATACAATATATATACTTTATATTTTATATATGATATATAAAGAGTGTGTGTGTGTGTATGTGTTTAGACAGAGTTTTTCTGTTTAGCCTTGGCTATTCTGGAACTCTCTCTGTAGACCAGGCTGGCCTCAAACTCACAGAGATCAGCCTGCCTCTGCCTCCCAAGTGCAGGGATCAAAGGCGTGAGCTACCACTGCCTGGCTTCTACCAAAATATTTTATCCATACTTATTTTCCCACTATAATATTTAAAGTACTTTTGGATATCTTTTTTTTCTTTATAGCACAGATTTTAATATCCATAAGGTATCTACCATATGGACATAATTCACATAACCAGGCCTTATCGATTTTTAAAAATAATTTATTTTTATGTGCATTGGTGTTTTCTCTGCATGTATGTCTGTGTGAGGGTGTCAGATCTTGAAGTTACAGACAGTTATGGGCTGCCATGTGGGTGCTGGAAATTGAACCTGGGTTCTCTGGAAGACCAGTCAGTGCTCTTAACCACTGAGCCATCTCTCCAGACTCAGCCTTATTAAATTTAGGATGGTTTGAAAGTTCAAATTTCTGAATGTACTCCTATGTCCTTAGGATATTTTCCTGTAAGTAATATTACAAGATCAAGAAATTACATTAATAAGCCTTTTCAGTTGTCACATATTCAACAATATTTTCTCTTATTTTAAAGCTTGTAATTGTTTTAATTGGTTAAGCATGTTCTTTGACCATTTCATAGGTGTACATATGTTTATCCTTGTCACCCTCCCTCTTCCTCACAAGTTTCCTTCCCACGTTCATGTCTTTTTAACAGCATTTTCTTACAGAAAAACAAAACAAAAGCACCCACCCATTTTTATCTGAGGCCACTATGACAGTGAGCTTTGACATAATGTGACTGGCCTCTGGCCCTGTGCACATCACAACTCACTCATTTCATCACCTTGGCAATAATGTAACAAACAAGTCCTAACTGTTAACAGGCACTTTTCTTAGCTTCCTAAGACACTCCATGGCCCACAACATTCAGTCTTATTTGGCTGTTTTTGTTTAGGTCACACATGTTTTTCTAGTCATAGCATCCCAAAAGCAATCAGTTTCGTGGAATTTAAGAGACATAAAAAAAAAAAAAAAAAAACTGCTGCTAGACTGCCTGCTCTGTAAGAACAGAGACTACAGAGACTACCCTGTGGTCTCGTTTTTTTTTTTTTTTTTTTTTTTTTTTTTTTTTTTTTTTTATGGGACCTAGACTGAACTCACAGGAAATTACCATTGTTAGTGTTTTTTAAATAATGCTTGCTGCTATGTTCTTCTGTTCCTGGAAACACCTCACAGAGAAAGTATAGAAAAGCATAAAAATCTTTTAAATCCTAACACTTTGAAATAATTCTCTGTTTACATTTGGCATTTTGTGCTGAAATTTATTCACATTTCTGCCTAAGTGTGTAAGTATAAATAAATTTGAGAAGTTGGTCATATCATGTATATGTGCTATTATTGCCGTCAAATAATCTCATTAAATATGCTTGCACACTATAATATACAAGAGCATTTAATATTTTATATATGTATGACCTATAATCTTTCAATGGAAGTAAATGTCTGTTATGACTTGTAAGTGTTCAGAAGCATCCATATCAGCATACAACATTTCTCTTAATTCATTTTACAAGAAGACTTCATTTTACTACTGCCTTAAGTCACAACTTAGATCACCTAGTCTGACATGGGCTCAGATTCCCATGTGTCACTCAAGGGCTTCAACAGCACACACCATAAAAACATAGAATTTTTGTAATACCAGCCAACCTATCCTGGCTGCTTGGTGAGTTCCAGTCCAGCAAAAACCCCAGATAGAAAGCACATGAAGAAAACACACACACACACACACACACACACACACACACACACACACACACACACATAAAAAGATATACTATTTTATTCTATTTACTATTAGATGCAACAGAAAAACAAATAATCATATTTTCAAATAATCAAAATTTTCAGAAATATTAAAAGTGAAAAAAAGAAAAACGGGAAAAAGCTGTTCCTTGAATGTGGCTGGCCCACCATTGAGGAGCAAGGAGTAGTCTACCTTAGAGCGGAAGCTCACTCGGGCTCTGCCACGTGCCTCAGTTGACTGTCTAATCACTATCCTTCCTTGAATAATAGGCACAGCCCGCTCCTCCCGTGACTTAGAGAACTATTTCCACTTAGAGAACTACCTCCAATATGCCGGGTGGGAGCATAAAATGCAACTTGCTAGGACTTTCCAGGGATAAAAGTTTACAGTCATCCAAAGGCTCTCTCAGGCCAAGTGTAACTGTTAGTGACACCTCTGCCACCAGGCAAGGGAGCTCCGGGAAGTGGGGCTCTAACCAAGCTCTGCCTCTCCAAGATCCTACCACGAAGCCTCTGTAGGCAGGTGTTCCATACATACCAGCAAAGGCAGTCAAACCTCAATAAAATATACAGCCAACGCCATCATTTTCTAATTAAACGTTAAGTGTAAGACGTCTAACCTCGCTGCCAGTACAGATTTCTGAGTTTTTATCTCTCCTTCCTTACTGTTTCGTTCTCCGGACGGTCCTGTTTCTTTTTTAAGAGAAATGATAGGCTGGAGAGGTAGTTCGGTGGACTGCAGTGTGTGTGTGTGTGTGGGTGTGTGGGTGTGTGTGTATTTATATTCAGATCGCTAAGATAGTGTTTGTGTTTGGGGTTTGCATGTGTATATCAGAAAATGTGGGGGCAGGTAAGTGGATCAGGAAATGGAGCGGCCAAGTCAGTTGAAATTTTAAAATTTTGGTTTCTCTTCAAGGAGGTGCCTTCCAATAGACGGCTGTACTTGCTGTGTTCCAGAAACACCAGAAGCACGTCTATGGGGTCGGGTGGGGTGGGGTGGCAGAAGGCCCACAGAGGGCAGCGGGCAGCTACCCACATAGATAAAGCTCCTGGCTTCCCTTCCAGTATTCAAACCCTGAATCCCTCTACAGCCATGTGGACTCCAGATCCCACGGAAACCTAGAAAGTTCTAGAATCATGATCCTTCCCCCTTAAAAGTTCAACTGACCTTATCAGAAACAAACCCGAGCGAGGTCTTCACCAAGGGCACTTGGCTCCCAAGCCCCTTCTCTGGAGTGTGTGGCAGGCAGAGGGAAACCCAGACCTGGAGGCTAGACCTTGTCTACTTCCTGCTCTCCTGGCACAGGCGGTACAGAAGGCAGGAGGAAGAGGGCTGACCTCGGGTATGCTGAGGATCTCCTGTTAGTTCCTTTGTCCCCCACTCTCAAGATAGTTTCACTTCTACGTTCATGCCGTACTCACCAGTTTATGTAACTATATAAAATCTAGGAACCACAAATGATAAAAGCAAATGACATTTGTCTTTCTGAGATTGGCTCAGTTTACTTAATATGATTATCTCAGTTTTTGTCCATTTTCCTGCAAATAATTGTCTTTTCTTTCTTTCTTTCTTTCTTTCTTTCTTTTTTTTTTTTTTTTTTTTTTTTTTTTTTTTTTTTTTTTTTTTTTTGTTGGTTGGTTGGTTTTGGTTTTTGGAGACAGGGTTTCTCTGTGTAGCGTGGCTGTCCTAGAACTCGATCTGTAGACCCAGCTGGCCTCAAACACAGGGATCCACCTGCCTCTGCCTCCCAAGTACTGGGACTAAAGGCGTGTACTGTCACTGCCCAGGTGGATTTTATTTTTTTATGCAAGATTTTGAATATCTAAATAAGTAATTAAATACTCTTTTCTTTGTGGCTGAAAATTTCTGTTTGTGTGATTGGTGTGTGTGTGTGTGTGTGTGTGTGTGTGTGTGTGTGTGAAATGCCACATTTTCCTAATCCATTCCTCTGCTTATAATTGTCGGGTTGGTTCCATAATTTAGCTCTTGTGAATAACTATGGATATGCAAATGTCTCCATGATATGTTGACTTAGTCCTGTGCATACCTGCAGCTGGGTTGCATGGTAGATCTATTGTTAATTTTTGGAACAACCTCAATGTTGATTTTCCAGAGGCCAGCCCAGCTTACAGTCCCATCAGAATGGTAGAAGGGTCCCTTTTATCTAATTTCTTTGGAGCATTTGTTGTTATTTGTTATCTTAATGACTGCTATTCTAATAGGGATATAGTGGAATCTCAATGTACTTTAATTCACACTTCTCTGATGGCTAGTAAAGTGGAGCATTTCTTCACGGATTTTAGCTATTTGTAATTTTTTTTAACCATTTGTTTGTTTATTTGAGAGTGAGGAGCATCCTTGCCACTTGTGGAAGTCAGGAGACAACTTTTGGAAGTCTGTCCTCTTCCATGGTTTGTGTTCTAGGGATGGAACTAAGGTTGTCTGGCTTGATGGCAAGTGCTTTTGCCCCCTTAGTCAAGCTGTATTTCATCTTTTGAGAACCACCTGTTCATTCCATTAGCTCATTTGTTAACTGGGTTTTTTCCATTCATATTGCTTACTATTTTAGTTCTTTGTATAGTCTAGATGCCAATGCTTTGTCAGATACACAGTGTGTAAAGATTTTTTTCTCCCATTCTGTATGCCTGTTTCTTTGCCCAGTTAACATTTCCTTTACTATACGGAAGCATTTTAGTTTCATGAGGTCTCACTTGGGCAACCGTTGGGCATACTTGTTGAGCAACACCTTTCAATAATAATTCTGAATACTAGTGGTCCCAGTATCACAATTTAAAAGATTGGATTAAAAAAATAAATAAATAAACCAAAACCAGGATCCATCTATTTGTTGCCGACAAAAAAAAAAAAAAGCACTTCAACATCAAAGTAACAAACACTGCCTTAAATGTGAATGGGTAAAAAAGGATGTCCAAGCAAATGGGCTTAAGAAATAAGCCAGTGTCACTGTTATTGTCCTTTTTATATTTCAGCGCTTTCTTTTCCTATTTCACAATTTTTTTATTTTTTATCTATCTATCTATTTATTTTTGGTTTTTCAAGACAGGGTTTCTATGAGTAACAGCCCTGGTTGTCTTGGAACTCACTCTGTAGATCAGGCTGGCCTTTAACTCACAGAGATCTGCCTACTCTGCTTCCCTAGTACTGGCATTAAAGGTGTGTGCCACCACTGCTGGGCTCCTATTTTTCAGGGTTTTAAAGCTTTTTCTGGGTTAGCCATTATAAGTGCAATATGTTTTCACTCCATAATTACTGGTAACACCTCTGATGGGACCGAAGTCCTAAGCTTTGAGGGTTTTCCAACTCCCACAGCTAACTCTGTTACACACGGATGCTGTCTTTGGTCTCAATTCAACAGTTTCCAATTACAGCTCCTTAAAGAACTCTAAAACCAAAGGCTTCCTACAGCAATCTCACCCAAAGACAAACCCTGGCCCTTCACCACATGAACAAACACATACGCTCCCTGCTATGAAATTGGTTAAAATGTTTTCTAGTGTTAAAAGAAGAAAAAGAACTTTGAAACTGTGTTTTCTGCTATCTAATATAGACTGTAAGTTTTCACAGTAAAGAGCCCCAACTTCACAGTTGAGATGATTAATAAGAGGTCAGCAAGTGCCTCTACATCCAAGAGGTCTGGGTAAAGGTGACCCACCCCATGACATCAGTACCTTTATCTGGCGTTTGATTCTGCCCAAGAACCTGGGCAAGAGACCACAGTAACAGAATCAAATCTTGTTTGTGTCTCAATCCACTCTAGGACTTGCTATGGTTTCCCCCGAATCCTACACAACCTCTACCCCAGTTCTGGCCCATTCATTCCTGAGAACTTCCTGTCCAAGACCATGAGTTTCCTGGGGGCAGCAACTGCAGCTTTCATGGTAATAACTGAACCTAAACCAACAGCCTAAAAATCATCAATGAAAAGAAACCCTGCAAAGGGGCAATGGCTATGAACATGAAGTTCCCTAATGGGCACCGAGTCCATGAAAGCATAGGACGGTATAGCAAACGAGTCAGTAAGCCTGGGAAATGCTGAATAAAGCAAGAAGATATCCACTTTCCTATTAAAATTTTCAAAAAAAAAAAAAAAACAACTATATAGCTGCTGGAGAAGTCATATTAGTTCCTGGAGTAGATTTAGCCACAAACAGGATTTGATTTTCTTATTGTGGCATTAGTGGACAAAATCAAACACCACCTGAATGACCTGGTGTTAGGGGGTCATCTCTCTCCTGAGTGAAGACACAGAAGACACATAACCACAACCAGCAACCCCTGTGTCCACATTTGAGTTGTTTTGTCTCTTTAAATAGGATTTGTAAGAAATGAGTGTTGATCATCCTAATTTGATCACTACCCTATTTCTAAAAATAAATTTGTTGGGACTGGAGACAGGGCTCAGCAGTTTAAGAGCACTCACCAGTCTTGCCATGTGTCTTTCCCAGCACCCACATGGTCTCTTAAAATGTCTGTAACTCCAGTTCCAGGGGAATCTGTGCCCCCCCACACACACACACACACCAAGTGCACATACATGCACGCAGGCAAAACACTCATAGACATAAAATAAAAATAGAAATAAAATTTTGTTTTGTTTTGTTTTGTTTTTCGAGAAAGGGTTTCTCTGTAGCTATGGAGCCTGTCCTGGAACTCGCTCTGTAGACCAGGCTGGCCTCGAGCTCAGTGAGATTGAAGTGCTGGAACTAAAGGCATGTGCCACCACCGCTCGGCAATAAATCATGTTGTAAAGAAAAAGACTGAGACCTAACCAAGCAGAAGGAACATGGAGGGCTCCCTTTTTTAAAAAGAAATAGAAATATGACTATGCGATAATTGCTAACACCTGTTGAAACTGCTTAAGGCATATTGAGACTTTACGGGTCATAGGTGTGTGTGTGTGTGTGTGTGAGTGTGTGTGTGTGTGTGTGTTGTTATTGCTGTTGTTGTTTTAAGTGCAGAGTTGGAAAATCCGAACTTCAAAAGTTCAAGATAGTAGGAGGGAGGGGAGAAGGGAGAGAGGGAGACTGGGGGAGGGGAGAAATGGAGAGAGAACTTGGGGTTATTAAGGTGGGGAGGTGTCTTTTAAGAGTTGGGAGGAGCATAAAAGGCAGGAGGACACGCAGCAGAGGCGGGAAGACTCCGCAAGGTGATGTCACCGAATGATAAGCTCAGCTTCAGGCTGAAAAAGAAAGTAAGCCTAGGAAGTTGTATGAAATTTCCTGGAGAGGTGACAAGAAAGTCGCTGAGGGTCCTGCCGGCGAGGGAGGCACCTCAGCGGCTGTGTTTCGGGAAACGGCACGCTAGATCGTCACCGAAGCAGCGGCCGCCCGCGTGGCCGGCTGGTGGGAGTGGACCGAGGCCGCAGTGCTGCACTCACCTGTTCGTAGAGTCCCTGCTCGCCGCCGATCACAGGTCCGGGTCTCGCGGGCCACAGTTCCCGAGCTTGCGGATCACAGCTCCGGGGCCCCGGGCGAGCGGCTTCAGGGACGAAGCCTGCCACAGGCCGCTGCTAGCTTTTGCTTTCAGGGGCTCCAGGCCGCGTTCGTGGCTCCAGGGCTGCGCTTACTTCCCGTTCCCACGCGTCCAGGTGACGCTCTACCAGCGATTCCAAGAAGGCAGGTTTTAAAACCTGATCACCCTAGGTCAGGGAAGGAGAGCCAGTCTAGGGCCCTCCGCAGACCGGCAGGCTCCAGCCTTCACCAAGAGGAAGAAAAACTAGCAACTGAAATAGCTAAGCGAAACTACCCAGAGAATAGAAATGACTCATCCCCCAGATGCTGAGTTGATCATTAGCTATAGGCTGCTACCTCACTGTTCCCCGCCTTACGAACTCCCGCCAATTCTTGAGGACACTTCCTCATTGTCCCCACCTCTCGCTCCCTCTTCCTGAGACAGGATGGGGCTGTGGGTGTGGGGTGGAGTGTTTGCTTGCCCTGCAGAAACCCTACAGCTTGTAAACCCAGATGGGTAAACCGGTTGGATGCATGGTGCATGCTTGTAATCTCAGCACTCGGGGAGGTAAAGGCAGGGAGATTAGAACTGTAGACCTGGGTCAGCCAGGGCTACAGTAGACAATGAAAGAAAATAACACACACACACACACACACACACACACACACACACACAGGAGGAGCCAATGCCCAATTTCAATTTCCAACCTCTCTGAAGAAAGGGATTTCATACTGTGCACCAAACTACCAGCAAGGGAGCCAGAACTACCCCCTGGAAATCC